GATTAGTTGGTATTTCGAAATCAAAGGCAATGAGTCACTCGTTCTTTCTTCAAATCCAGTCTATATATGGTACATTATCATGAAATATGATGACATACAGATTTGTAGTATTTTTTACTCAAAAGAGATGAGCTCAATGCTGACAGTACAGTTTTTTCTGAAACCCTTGAAAGCACGCAGAGAGGGAAGTGCAGAATCTTACATATACTTTTGTGAAAAATAACTTATGATTCACTACAGCTTCCAAAAGCTAAAGATACTGTCATGCAATTCCACTATGAACTAAATAAAGCCTTTTGAAAACACTGCCCCCACAAAATTATTCTAAAAAATGGAAATCTAAATAGATTAAATAAATAAAAATAAGAAAACTGAAAAGGGCAAGATGTTTAATGAAATAAGTGGAACAAGAGTAAGGTCTCAACTTTAAGAAAATCCCTCACAAGCTGAAAGTTAGTCAGGGATAAGATCTGTGGGCCCCTTTGTGGGGAAAAAGACCCCCGAAGACAACAACTGAAACATGACAAAACCCTCCCAGTTTTCATTCCAATGCCCCATCAAATAATTTTGGAATTTTTCTCCTAAAGTGGATGATGCACAGCAAGATCACTTTTGGTTCCATTATCCTGCCCTTCTCTGTGCTAGTAGTAGTCAAAGAACTGTATTGAAAACACTGCTTTCTTGGTTACAATTTTGCCCTTTGTCACAGACAAAGGTATTTTGCAGACTGTTTTCACAGCCTGCTTCCAGAACAACCAGTTTGGGTTCTGAAGGAAACTTCAATCTGTCCTTATCAGCTGATTCATTCAGCTTCCCATGGCCTGACTGCATATAAACCCGTGTATCAACCACACACACCACCCTAATAAATAACATGTAGAGTATTAGAAGACTGGAGAAGAACTGGTAACCACTTTCTTTGTGAGGACATTTCTACAGAAATGAACTACAGGTAAGAGAACCTTATATATGTTGAATTAAATTCTGAAAAACAACTTCAATGCACTATGAGCACAAAACACTGCCCTTTAAATTGCTATAAAAAACACTCAGCATGTTACAAGAAAGCAATCTAGATTCAAGAAAAGGCAGATAAGTAATGTGTATTGGCTTCTAAGTAGTAAGGACTGATCACCATTCTGTTCCTGGGAAATGGTGGCTGCACTTCAGAGATATTTGGTGTTAGAGAAGGTAACTAAAAATCAGACATGCAAGCTGAAACAAAATACAAGAGAAAATGCATGGGATGTGAAAAGAGCTGCAGAAAAAATGGACAATCAAACCAAGATGTGAGCTGTAACAAACTCAGAAATAAGGAATATGTTTCTCAGCGTTTTCTATACCAGAAGTTCTGAGTATAGCAACTAAGAGCTGTACTTGAAACTAAGTTTATTTACACTGATATATTTTTTTAGACCTCAATGAGTCTGCTACTACTGGCTTCTGAGAGCATCAAGTGCTCTTCCACATGGATTCTCTCAACTGAACAGTAAAAAAGAGACTCTTATGTCTAAAAATATTCAACCTTCACATTTTCTTATTTTTGATTTCTTTGTATCTATGTGATATGAGTGAACTGTAGTAGAATCTGTCAACATGTAAAATATCCAACATTAATCCAGCAGACCACGTGGCCACTTGAGCAGTGACAAGGTGTCAATATACTTCATTAATATGGCTGAATTACAACACTACAGAGATTGATGATACACAATATGCAAGATCATGAATACTAATACATAAATCCAATAGAATTTCGCCTAGATTAGATTTGCTAGCTGTCTGGCATCGTTACTTTGCATTAATTTTCCCTGCTATTATCAAACCACTCCAGAGATGCAGCAAGACACAAAAATCACTTGAGATGTCTGTGTCTACACATGCTGTGAGTACTGAGCAGCCTTATGGAAAGAACACCATACCTGATAAAAGTTTGTCTTATGAGCTAGAGGCTACTCCATCATGTGCCACAAATGCTCACAATAACACCAACTGGTAACACATCAGCCTAGAGAAGCATTTCAGCTTGGTTTTGTTACCCTGGTAAGGAGATACCATTATTGTAAGACACCAGTATGTACTTTTCTAAATGAATTGTTTAGAAAACAGTCCCTTTAAAACATATTTGATGCCCAGCTGTCTCACAGGTTAATGAAATCAAAACTAGTTTTAAAAAACTGTATCAAAACTAGTTTTAAATTATCTCCTTTTTAGCACAGTATTGCTATGCCTAAATTTTCTCCCTATGCAGAATTGGAACTATATTGGCCCACAGATTACACATTGCTACAAACACCACAGGATCATCTAGGTTGGAAGGACCTTCTGGAGGTGACCTAGTCCAAACTCTTGCTCCAAGCAGGTCAAAATAGACCTGGCAGCTTGGAGCCTTGTGTAATCCACTTCTGAGCACCTCTGAGGATGTTCTCCATGAGCTCTCTGTGTAATCAGGTGCAGATTTTTCTTTTCTTTCTCCCTAATTTGCATTTCTTCATGTTGCAATTTGTCCACATGGCCTTTTGTCATTTCACTGTGTGCCCAAATCAAGAGTTTGGCTCCATCTTCTCTATATCCTTTTATGAAGTAATTGAAGACAGCACCAAACCTCATCTCAATCTCTCTTATTAAGGCTTGACCAACTCAGTCCATCTCTGCTGGACTCCTGCCAGCACATCACTGCTTTTCCTGTGCTGGAGAGACCAGGAGTGCACACAGTGCTCCAGGTGTGGCCCCACAAGGGATGAACAGAGGAACAATCTCTTGCTTTGCCTCGCTGGCTGCACCTCTGCAATGCTCTGCTCTGCCTTTGCCACAAGAGTACACTGATGACAAACAAAAATGAACTTCTTACCCATAAACACACCATCCTACAGGGGTATTTATGTAAAAGCACTCAAGAACAAAAACGTTTTAGATTTCATCTCAAAGTGTAGAGGCATATTGGGACCTTTACCTCTAAGCACTCTAGATCTATTTGAATTGTCATCAGCTCCCTCACTGCAGAATGTCCTGTTCTCCCACTCCTGTGCCTCAAAGAAAGACTGGAGGTGGAGTTGTGCAAAAATAACCTTCAAGAGCAAATTGAATTTGCAGAGGTCAAAACTTCAAGGTAAAGAGTATCTCCAAGGGTTAATCTTATCACTTCATTACAGCTCACACTTTAACACAGTTTACAAGCACAGCTTCCTCACAGGTATATTTACTTTATACCAATACCACCACAGCGGCTGCCCATCAGTGTGCTTAAGGAATGCCACATCAGAAATAAACAAACAAACTAGGAAAAAAAATCTTTAAAACCCCCCTAGAACCTAGATAGAGCAGAGGTGCAAAAACCACCCAACTAAAAAACAAACCAATGAAAAACAGGAAAAACAAACAGTACAGAAGATGGAAAGAGTCTGTGAAAAAATTCACATTCGTATGTAGAGGTAAGAACTTGTTCCATGCTCAGACATTTATGTGTCTTTGTATCTTAATATAACAAATCTAAGGCATAACAATTCAAAACCTTTTAAAGAACCAACCCCAAAGCAACAAAAACAAAGAAACCCAAACAACAATCCAAAACCACAAAACAAAACAAAGCACCACTAAACCCAGAAAACGTTTGTGATCGTACCTCAGTGATCTGCTACCTTGAATTAAAATTACAACAATACAACAAAAGTGGAATTGGAAAAACCCCAGAGTTCTTAATACACTCCCAAGCCTATTCTTTAGACCCAGGCAGAAATTGCAAACCATCCACATTTATCCTTTTTCCAGTTAATCTATTTTTACTGTTGGCTTTTCTTTTCCTCCGGATGAGTCCCTTCTTTTTTGCCTATGACTTTTCCCTTTCAGAAATTCTTCAAGGCCTCAAAAGGTTGAATTTTACTGTCATGGAGCCAGGAAGGTAATATTCCACCAAAGGCAGAAATGTGTAATATCATCAGCAGTTCAAATGAGGCTTAGAAAAAAAAGAATTTGGGCACAATTTATTTAAAAAGTATCAAATCATTTTAATAAACATTCAGTAGCTCAGAATGCCATGGTTTTAGTATAACGTGCCAAAACCATGATGGAGCTAATCAGAAGTTGAATATTGTGGAAAATGTGGCTTATATTTTGTTATAGGGCTAGAAAAAAGAAAAAGCAATGGCATTATTAAATGAAAATATCTGGTAAAATTTGAAGCAAGACCTGTGATTTATCTTATAAATCCAGCTAATCATTAAGGCTCAAGATACTGTTTGTTATAAACACCAACAAAATCAATTGATCCTTTTTTGCTGAAGTAGGATTTACAAGGATTTTGATGGCATCAGTGGAACCCCCCAAAAACAGTACTGTACAAAAGAATATTATCTCCAGAAAAAAATATACAGGACATGCAGAATTCAGCAAGTGTCACTCAGCTGGCAATGCTCTTCTCCTTGTAGGGTAAAAGAAAAACTTTATGCACACACACGTTGTGTATTCAACATAGATTGTTTTACTCTAAAGCAGGAAATGTTAGAGAGTTACAGCCTTGGGTTTACACTGTAGCAGTTCTGCATCATTGCCTGTAATCCTGACTACATAAAAATATATTTTTATATAATTTGCACTTTAATAGCAAGTCTTCCCCCATTTAGAGCAAATTACTTGCTAAATCTAGACTAGTATAACCAAAACTCATGTGGTCTTGCTTTACTTCCTGTGTATGCTTTTTTGACTCAGAACCACCTTTTTTCTTTACAAAATTCACATTCTTAAGACAAAAAAAAAATCCAAACAAAAATAGAAATGGCTTAGACCTAACTATCTTTCTAGTATTTATGATCACCACTGAATGAATGTAGAAACTACTAAAAATTAGAAATGCAAGCACTAAGCTAATTTTGAGATATACAACCTTGCTTTAAAACTTCTAGAAAACATAAACCAGAAAGCATCATAAAGAGAGCAAACACAGAAAAGGCTGACAAATCAAAAAAAGCTGTCTGCTGGGAGTTTGCTTAATTATTAATTCTTACCTTCTGTGCTTAATCCAGGACTTGAAGTGAATTTTGCTACATCGACGATCTTGACGGCGAACTGCTGCCCCGTCTCCCTGTTGATGCATCGCCGCACGACGCTGAAGGGACCCCTGCAACACAGAGACCAGCCGTGAAAAACCACCCTCCTCCTCCTCACTGGGCCACAATTCCCTGCTTCTCAACAAGGTTTTGATTTGTGCATTCAGGTGTAGCATTTACACAGAGTATACCTCTCGTCCTTGCTGCCCGTTAAATGTAAAATTAATGGTTCCGACCATTGACTGGTGTGAAGAACATCATGAGTTCTGTATTTTCCTGTATTAAAGACATTTCTCTTGCCCTGCCCCTTCAGAAAGGCTATACTCTTAGAAACCTTATGTAATATGCAACTGACATCATCATTATTAAATTTTAAGTGGAGCTTATTTAGATGCAAAATCCAAATGGGGGGAAATAGAGGTGAGAAACCCATTTCTTCTTTCAGTCCTAATCTGAAAGGATAATGGACAACATCAAGAATAACAGAATTGTGAGCTGTTTCAGTTTGTCTGTTTTACACAAACTAGGTTTATTTCAAGTTTGGCATCACTAGATACAACCTCCATTACAATACTTTGAAATTCCACAAAACCTCATGATTTTCTCTCATTTATGACACTTGGAGAATCCCAGAAGTTAGAAATGAAAAGATTAAAATTAGTTCAGACAAATGTCACTATTGCACTCAAATAAAAAAGAGTGGTTATTTTTTGATATTGAAGTTACATTTGCCAAAACATCAGTTAGAACAATGACAACCTTTTAAAAACCATCAGCACAAATATGTATTTTTGGAACCACCTTTTAGTAGGTGATTTAAGTTTTTGGTGCCTTAGGTTCTAGTATGGAATCTTCTGTCCAATGTTAGTAACAACCAATACAATCAGATAAACAGGGTATGTCAAGCTTTCAAACATGAAATATAAATGTGTTATGAAAACACAATAGGATTGTTTCAGGAGTGCACTAGCTGTGGCAAATCAATCCTCTTTTACTGCTACTTATGTAATGACAGACATGTGAGTTCTAAAGAAATCCATTCTGAAGTCTTCTCAAAAAGATGTGAGGGAAAAATTGAGGATGGAAAGAGCCTTTGTTCAGAGTTTATTGAGTGAACATTCACCTGCTGAGTGAAATAAATGCTTTAATACAGCTTGAAAGAAAAATTCTTCCATTCAAACAACGGACTGGAAGTTAGCTGACACGTTTCTGAGCAATGGGATTGCAAAGCAACACCATTCTCAAAATAAAGGGTACCCTGAGGAGGCAGAAATGTCCCTCTGAGGGCACTTACAAGCCTTAATAACTGGCTTTTGGTATTCCTTTACACACCAGATGATCTGAAGTGTGTAATCCATCACACTACCAAACCTGTACTCACAAAGCTAAACTCCAGGTTTTGTACTCTTTCAATGTTCAACATACTTGCAATGATTTCTTGAAATTGGATTATTTCTGAGAACATGAATTGCAGAAGTAGTTAATGAATGCCAGTCTAAATATTCACAGTGAGGAAGATAGTTATCATCACAATTATGGACACATGATGTACTCAGAACAAACTACTCAAGAAAATGCATGTTTATTTTCTTTCCTCTTTCCTTGCTCCAAACACACGATGAAATCCCCCATACTGATGGCTATTTTCTCTTCTGAATCCACACCCCACTATTATTCAGTATTTGGTCCTTTACCAAAAATGACCACAGATATTTTTTAAAAGATGATCAATTAAGCCTCTAATGCATAGAAATCCACTTTCATCATTACATGGAAAAGATTCAACTGATTTCATTTGGCATTGGAAGGATACAGCTATTGGCAAAGAATCCTCCCTCCATGTTTCAAAAAAGTCATTTTAGATTAAAAAGTTCCACTTTAACAGATCAGTGTCACCTTCTTATTCCAAGCTCCTGCTTCCTCTTTTAGCATTCAAAGTAAAATTGCTTTAAAACACTATCAATACATTTAGATTATGCTAACCTAAAAATATTTCAAAACCTAAAGCACAGCTTTGGAATAATGCTGGCAACACCTCCTTTCACTCCTAATTCTCATGAATCACTGGAAACTAAACAGATTTAATTCAAATGATCCTTTTTGTTTTCATTGCTGTTTTGTGTGTCGTCCCCCCTGCCCCCCAAGCCTTTCTGGATACATGAAATAATGCTTTTAACATATTCTGATATAGAAGAGTAGATCTGGAGTGCAGAGATTCCTCACAAGACCATATTCTTTACTTGCAGGCAGATCCTCAAATTCTGTAAATTCAGAAACTACAAATATCAGAAATTCTCACTGTTGCCTCAGCTACTTTTTTATCTCCTAGTTTTGCCAAGCCTGGGCAGGAGAGCTCACCCGGCCCCCACAGTGTGTGTATGTGCTTTGAGCAGGCAAAGAGAGCTGGAGGAATCATAAATCAAAAAGGAGCCAATAAACTGCAGTTCTGAGAGGATTAGATCCATGTGTAACCCACCTTTATCTTGTACCACCATGCCCTGATTTCTTCTTCCATTATCTATTAACATTTTAAAATCCTGACTTGAGCAATTTCCTTCCTGCATATTAAATCTGGGACAAAAAATTTAGAGAATTTTATTCAGTTCTGTAACAGAAAAGGTACAGAGACACCCCTAAAGTCTCAAAATTTATGGCCATATTGAAACTACACTATGATTATGACAGAAGCTTCTCTACTTGGATTGAGAAATGTCAAAGACTCTTAATTAAATGAAATGTGCTGTAAAGCGCAGAATACAAGAATTGAGTTGGAAATAAATGATCTTTAAAGTCCCTTCCAAACCAATCCATTTTATGATTGTGTGAATTCATTGACACCCACAATTAACTCATTGAAACTCTATTGAAACAATACAGCAATTTCATACAGAAATAAAAATACTTTAAAACACAACCTGAAGAAAGACTTAGCTATTTACAAACCTCAGACTTGCAACTTTTTCAAAACACTCTCTCTGACACTCAAGCTATACAGACCCTCAAAACAGTGTTAAGACACTACATTAGATGAATACATCCCATGACAATAGCATCACAACAAAAGCTTGTTCAGTTCAATTTTAAGTAATTTTAAATCACTCATGAGACATGCCCTGATCAATTAAGCAGACACCATCCCTTCCATGTGGCAAGTAACACAAAGGAACTTTTTAATAAATTACGGTTGCAGTTATTCCTCTCCAGCTGCAATGGCACACAGCAAGTTTACAAATGAAGTTCTAACAGCCCACGGTGCTGCTGTATAACCTGAGTCAGGAAACCAGAATCCCTGTTTCCCAACACAAAAATCTTTCAGGCCACCCTGAGTCGCAGCACTGAAACCACCCAGTGAGGAAAGGAAGGACAACAATTCACCTCTCAGCTGAGATGAGGAACTGCTCAACAGTTGTGCCTGCAGATGGGGAATGTGTATCACATCCTTGCTAAATGACAATTTCTAAAGCTCATTTTGCCAACCCTGCAGCTCAAATTTTACAGATCTGAAGTACAGAGGTGACACAGACTGGGGAAGGAACAACTGTAACCCCAGACACAGATGACCAAAGCTGTCAGAGATAGATAAGACTGCTTATTTATTAGGAGTAACTGAGCTGTGTAAGACTTCATTTCCCAAGTCACACAAACTGTAATTCTGTTCATGTGCTTTATATTTCACTTCTCTCTGTGCTACCTCTAACAGACATAACCCGAGGTTACAAAATCTTTCCCTGCAGACAGCTGGCACACCAGGGACTACAGCAGCTCCAATATGAGGATCCTTAAAACATGCGAGCAAGAACTAAGGACAGATGATTCCTTCACTGATATTTTATCAAGGTTCGCAGCAGCAAATTCCAACACCTGGAACACTTGGAGTGCCACCTACAGTGTATGGCAAAATCCAAAATGTATCAACTTAAACTGAAGCTGGGATTCATGATGGGTTTTTCTGTCTTATGCAGATGGAAATCCAAGAGTTACATTACTGAGGAGGTTAGTGAGTACATATAGGCCAGAAATGTGGATTAAAATGCTAGAGAGGCTGTCTCAGGTCTTTTCATTAGTCCAAAATTTCAAATTAGCAAAGCAGGCCTGATGTAACCTTAACCCCACTGAAACTATCTTCTGATGGTAACTTTACAGAGCAGTTCATTTTCTATCAGGTAGACACAAACTTGAGGAAAATCAATTATTAATTACTCTCTCCTTCAGGAGTACATCACCTGAATAAGAATAAAACCTTAAAACTTTGATAACATCAAAGCCTTTTTTATCATCTCCTTCACTTTAAATTATTTTACTCTGTGTGTCATTGGGACTTCAAGGACAACGATCATAAACCAATATATTGCACACTATCTTTTTATACTAAAATCTTGTCAGTTTATCTGTCTGTTCTGCCTCCTGTCTCCTTTCCTTCAATCCCTGGTGCTCTGCAAGAAGGAGAACTGGCTGTGGTTGGAATATTCCTCAGCCTGTTGCCTTCCCATGTCCCTCCATGAGGTGAGCCCACCTGTGGGAATGGAATTCCTGTAAAGAAACTTCCTGAACCCCTTTGCTTCAGAGCCTCAAAATTTGAGATTTTAGATCATTGCAGACCATCACGAACTTGCTCAACGTCTCTTCCAAGTGATTTTTTGAGGAACTTAATTAAAACAAGGTTTTGGCTCTCTAATTTTTTTTTCATTAAGTTTAAAAAAAAAGGTAAGAAATACAAATTGAACATTTTGACAGACAAAAACCCCTCAAATAATGAGCAATATCTCCTCCCTTAAAAAGGATCTTCCATTTAGAAGATCCCAAGTAAAAGGCCCAGGACTCCTTTTCCTTATTTAAAAAGATTTAATAGTTAAGAACTTGAAACATGCAACACAGGTCTTAAAGTCACCTTAATTCAACATTTTAGATGAAGTGTTTAGATCAAGATCAGTGTTTTCTAAAAAAGGTTTTGTCAGTTTGTTGGAATAAGATACCACTGCAGTATACACATAAAAAAAAGACATTTATACCCAGATTATTTTTTCTTATTTATTTATTTATTTATTCGCTTACCTAATCAGCAAACACTGCT